GAAGCTTGGAAATTCCAACTTCTACATTCGACGCCGAAACCTATCAAATCAAGTCCGATTGACCTCAAATTTTGCACACAAGTCATAAATGACATAACGGAGGTGTTCCAATTCCCAGAATCAGATTCCAACTCCGACATAAAAAAGTTAACTCCCCGGTCAAACTTTCAAACTTTAATTTCTATTTTAGCTATTTCAAGCCTAATTTAACTACGGACTTCCAAATAATCCTAATTCCAAAATTACCATAAGGAGCAATTGGAATAATCAAAATTCTATTCCGGGGTTGTTTATACATTAGTCGATATCTGGTCACTATTGGAACTTAAGCTTTAAAACTTGGAACAAAGTGTTCCAACTAATCCAAAACCTTACCGGCCCCGAACCAATTACCCTGACAAGTCACATAACAAATGTAAAACATAAATTGAGCAGTAAATGGGGGAACGGGATTGTAATACTCAAAACGACTGGTCGGGTCATTATAATTACTCAAGTAGTCTGCTCAGTAAATGATACATCATGTAAGGGTTATATGCAATGAATCAGGTAATTAACCACGGAAATAGCAAGTAGAGATGAAATGCAAATTCAAACAAACACTAGATAGATTTTCCTCAACCTTTCCATTTCCGTACCAAATCACTGATCCGTTTTCCTTAATAACCTCGTGTATACCATCAAGAAGGCACATGAAAGAGTGACCCGTGTGTATACCCATACACAAGCACGGCCAGTTCAATGTGCTACCAGCCGACGTGGTCAGAGGCTCAATATCATAATTCGCCCGGTGTGGTCACATGCATAACAATACAATCCTCCCGACATGGTCATAGACATAACAACACAATCTGTCCAGCTTAGTTACAGGCATAACAACACAATCCACCCAGCGTGGTCATATGCATAACAACACAATCTGCCCGGCGTGTTCGCATACATCAAGTCCAAATCATATCACATAGGAGCAAGTGTACAAGAATACATTTGTTTGATGAATGAATAACAGATCGCATGCTCCTGGACTGGTGTAAATGACATGCTAAAGTGTAGGCATATGCAAAGTGTGCTATCATAGCTCAAATCGGCAATTTCATCACGAAAATAGCAATTATCATGTCCATTCAGGAAATTAGTCTCTATGTAACCTCAAACATGACTCAAATAGTTCACAACATGGTGCACACCCTTGTATTGTTGTCAGATATACACGTGGCACTTTTTATTGATTCTTGCTTGTGTTTCAAAGTTATGAGTCTCTATTAGTATACATTTTTATTTTGAATATCAAAATATAAAATATGCATGTATAGTAAGTTTTAGTTTTAATTATATGAAAACTCGTTGAGGAAAATTATAAATGAATGACATATTATTATTTATGTTAGTGGTATTATTTAATTTTTAAGCTCTGCTCCAAGTTGTCATAATTATTACTCCCTCCGTTCTAATTTATGTGAACCTTTTTGACTGGGCATGAAGTTTAAGAAAAATAAAGATTTTTGGAATTTGTAGTCCTAAACAAGTCAAAACAGGGTCCAGAATATTTGTGTGGTTATAAAAGCTTCTCATTAAGGGTAGAATTGGAAGTTTAAGCTAAATTGTTTCCAAATTTAGAAATGGGTCATTCTTTTTAGAACTGACCAAAAAGGATATAAATAGATTGGTTTGTCTATTATTTTGTTTGATTGGTTTGTCTATATAAATAGAAAAGACGAATAACCTAAATCGAAAATGTTCAAAATATGGTTAAACCAAACCCAAAATAGTTATTATCGAAACCTCCAAATTCTAGATCCGTCTCTGATTGTACTTGTAGTTGATTGTTATTGTTTGTATGTACTAGGGATTGAGTGATAAAATCATTTTTCATTTACTACTTAATATATTGGTGAGCACTGTTTTAACCAATTCCTTAACCTATGGCCTCATCAATCTTTCATGATGCGTGGGCTATTTTCCGATCTTGCCCCTTGACTCCTTGGTTGTGACCATAGCACCCTAATAAGCCTCTTGGCACCGAGTGTCATGGAGGATGTTCCCGTGGTATTGGTTGCACCAAGCAACAAGTGCGCATGTGCTTATGTTTCCCCACCGGTAGTCTGTGCCCGCGCCCAGCAATAGGCGATGTTCAAAAGCGCTTGTTAGCAGGCAGCGTCAGCCCGCATCTTGCGCCTGCAAGCAGATGCACGCAGCCAGCGCGTGCTCATGTCTTGAGCACTGATGTTATTGATAAGGACGTCGCCCCTACAAGTGTCGGCCGTTGGACCAGCTTTTCCTTTGTATAAGCCTAGGTCTCTTTCCATGTAAATATAGAGTAGTTTACTTATTGTATTTGCATTATGATTTTCTAGCTTATTTATGTCTATTCCTATAACTTAAGTGTTTATTTTTATGACATATATAAGGAGGGTATAGTCATTGAAGTTCTTTGCAAGCAATCAAATCTCTGCAATAGTGTCTCTTCCCCTCTTGGAACCGCGTTGGCTTTCTATCAATCATTGTTCTTTGTTAATACAAGAAAGCTTTCATTTAGTTCTCTCTGCAAATTGTGATCATGACATTGGCTTTCTTGCACGGCACTGACAGTCTAGTCTAGAGTGAGGAGGGGTCCTTCTGTTGGCGAAAAGTAATCACACGGAAGTCGGTTGCTTTGCCTTACGTCGCCCTTCCCAGATATCTCAGGAAGGCACCGCACAACAATACCCAAGTCAAATGTGTGATATAGATATATTAAAAAAATGATTTTATGCGTACAACTTTTTAAATAAAATACACTAAAATTTAGCAGCAAAAGTGCATGCACACGAAAATTGTGATACGTCAAGAACGTTTAATTTTTTCACAATACATCAGATATTTAAAGACGTGCTTTTCTAGTTTAGGATACAAGGAAGCTTCAGTATTTCTCTTTGAAAGTTTACTTATGACAAAGACTAGACGAATGAATCGCACACACCGATTGCCATTAAATTCCACTTTTAAAGAACTAATAAGAATAGCACAAAAGATGAAGCAATTATCCATGCATGGTTGCTGAGTAGCAAAATTGTTTTACTCAGGATCCTACTGTTTTCAAACAAGTTGAAGGTGTAGGCAAATTTGGGAGAGATGCAGAATTAAATAATTGTGGTTTATCGGGGCAAATGCTGCGAGCTTCATGGATAAGTGAGAGAATCTGCATGCAAATACATGTAATGCATTAATTTTCCATAAACACCGATTGTGGATAAACTTTTACCCTCTTAATTGTCACGACCCAAAACCGCACATCGTGATGGCGCATATCTCAATACTAGGCAATTCGACAACCTCAATAAAACACAAAATCTTTTAAGATTGAAAACATAATATTTGAGTTCTATAGAAAACCTCACATTTACAAATTCAAAACACTCCCACAATCCGGTGTCACTAAGTAAATGAGCATCTAAATGATAACAAAGTATGACTAATAAAAACACTGTCTAATCAATATAGAACAGTTTAATAACTGAAAGGAAGAGAGTTAAGGTTAGTGACCGCGAAGCAGCTACCTAGATAGTCTCCAACTGATAACACTCTGAGATCTAACAGTCTCCGTGTCCGGAAGCACCTGGATCTGCACACGAGGTGCAGAGTATAGTATGAGTACAACAAACTCAAGAAGTAACAAGACTAACCTTTGGTTTGAAACTAGTGACGAGCTCAATAGGTATAGTACATTATACAAAAAATAACAGTACAGTAATGTAAGCATGCTTTCAAGTTCAACAGTTAAACTCAGTACAAGTAAAATAGATCAGTACTACATGATATGAGGAATATGACATCACAATGGAAAACCTCGTGTACTCACGATCAGTAATTACTCGGTCACTCAGTATTGTATATGGCCAATCTATTCCAGGGAAATTCCATCCCGTATATATATACATCGACTGACAGTCAGTCACTCAGTACCGTATAAAGCTAATCCAGCCCTGGGGTATTTTATCCCCAAATATAAATGATTCGGACAAGATCCACGTCCAGGGAATTCATCACAATTATAAATAAATATGGAAAGTCCATGTCCTGGGAAATCCATCCCGAATATATAATCATCTACGCTCACTGTAGGGGGTGCACACTCCGGAGGGGCTCCTTCAGTCCAAGCGTGATATAAAGTCAATATGGCCTGCTGTAGGTGGGCTATCTCCGATCCATATAATAATAAAGTCTATAAGGAATGCTGCAGGCGGGCAACCCCGATCCATAGAATAATAATATATATAAAGCCAATATGGCCTGTTGTAGGAGGGCAGCCCCGATCCCATCAATATCCTCACAATGGATGAACATGACTGAGCATGAAATGTATATTTTTAAATAATTAAATTCAACAACAACGCGACCTTATGGGTCCCAAAATATTGGCATGTAGCCTAAACATGATCTTTAATACGAGTCTCAACTCAATTTCCGTAACACGTGGAGAATATTCGGATAATAACATGATTCTTTAGTTTTACAACTCTACGGAATTTAGGTCTTATTAAATCTTTATAATCTACACATGCGAAATTTATTGTTCTTCTTAGGAACTACTACTACATTAGCTAGCTAGTCTGGATATTTTACCTCTCGGATCAAACTGATATCAAGTAGGCGAGTTACCTCTTCTTTCACGAATTTATTCCTGGCATCCACAATAGGGTGCTTCTTTGGTCTTACTGGAGGGATGTTGGGATCCAAACTTAGCTTGTGTATGACCACTTCCGTTGGGATACCTGTCATGTCTATATGAAACCTCGCAAAACAATCGGCATTATATTTAATAAATTAAATAAAGCCAGATCTGATCTCAGAGTGCACTCCGGTTCCCAAGTGAAATTTCCTTTCCAAGAACTTTTCAAACAATGCAACTTGTTCGAGCTCTTCCGCTGTGGATTTTGTTGCATCCGTCTCTTCTGGTACCTGGAAATACTTCGGCATCTGATAAAATTCCGACGCTTCTTCCCCTGGCTAACTTCATTCAATTAGGAGCGGGCGCTGGTTCCTGTAGTTGCTATGCCGCGTACTCCTTCCATTATCTGTTTGATTCCATCGGGTGGTGGGAATTTCAGCAACTGGTGATACGTTGATGGTACAACCCTTATCTCGTGCAACCATGGTCTTCCCAGAATAATATTATATCCCATATCACTGTCCACCACTTCAAAAAGAGTCATCTTTATCACTCCTTCGGTGATGCTTTCGGTGAGTTTGGTTTGCTCCAATACCCTCCAACAACAACAACAATATACCCAGTAAAATCCCACTAGTGGGTCTAGGGAGGATGGAGTGTACGTAGACCTTACCCCTACCCCAGAAGGGTAGAGAAACTATTTCCGAGAGACCCTCAGCTCAACAGAAGAGACAATAATATCATAAAAGAAACAAAAGAAAAAGTCTGTAACAACAAAAGAAGCTAGAAAGGTAATAACATCATCATAAGAGACAACAAACAAGTGAAAGGGCAATAACACAAAACTATGCAAAACAACAAAATAATGTGAACACAACATAGACCGTTAACACACCTAGACGAAACTCCATCGGACTACCCGGTACAAAGAGGGGAAAATTCTCGACTACCCCTAGCCCACAACCCTAATGCTCGACCTCCACACGTTCCTATCAAGAACCATGTCCTCAAAAATCTGAAGTTGTACAATGTTCTTCCTGATCACCTTGCCCCAATACTTCTTAGGCCGCCTCTACCTATTCTAGTACCTACCAAAGCCAACCGCTCGCAACCTCCTAACCAGGGCATATATGGTTCTCCTTTGCACGTGCCCGAACCACCTAAGCCTCACTTCCCGCATCTTGTCATCCATGGGAGCAACGCCCACCCTCTCCCGAATATCTTCATTCCTTATCTAAATCTCGTTTAGTGTGCTCGCACATCAATCTCAACATCCTCATTTCGGCTACTTTCATCTTCTGGATATGTGAATTCTTCATTGGCGAACACTCAACTCCATACAACATAGCCGGTCTAACTAGAGCTTCGGTGGCACCTTCTTGTCATACAAGACTCCAGACGCTAACCGCCATTTCATCCACCCCACCCCAATACGATGTGTGACATCCACGTCAAACTTTTTTATCTCCCTAGATAATTGACCCTAGGTACTTGAAACTTTCTCTCTTGGGGATGACTTGTGAGTCGAGCCTCACTACCATGTCTGTTTCCCCTGTCACACTGCTGAAGTTACACTCCAGATATTCTATCTTAGTCCTACTCAACTTGAAACCTTTGAACTCCAGGGCCTGCCTCCAAACCTCCAGTCTCTCATTAACGTCGCCTCGTGTCTCATCAATCAGAACAATATCATCAACGAACAACATAGACCATGGCACCTCCCCTTGAATATGGTGTGTTAGGGCATCCATTTACAGGGCAAATAAGAACGGGCTAAGCACAGATCCTTGGTGTAACCCCATAACCATCGAAAAAAGCTCTGAGTCACCTCTCGTAGTCCTGACCCGAGTCTTAGCTCCATCGTACATATCCTTTATCAATCTAATGTATGCTCTAATACCCTACATTGTATGATATTGGCCAAACTTACTGGATTTACTAGAACGCGTTTTATTTTAAAATCTAGTACATTTAAAGAAATTACCAATGTATCATTGTGCGATAGCAACAATCCGTCTGCTTCCTCCTCCGTGAAAGTGTTGTCATCTTTAGCGACTTCCCGGAGTCTCTTGCTATGGGTTATTGATATCTTCGTCTTTTTTGCTACCGAGAAGGTGACCCTGTTTATCTTGTTCCCCCGACGATCATGTTGATCATCTGGCACGGGGGATCGTCTCCTGCTTTTGAGGGTTCTGCGTTATCACGGTTGCGACCGTAGTTGTTCTTAGCCCGGGCACTTAAGAATTCTCCGAGATGCCCATTCTTCAATAGTGTTGCCACTTCTTCCAATAGATATCGGCAGTCCCCAGTCCGGTGCCAATTCGTATCGTGGTACTCACACTACAAGTTGGGATCCCTCTGGCCAGGATCGAACCTCATCGGCTTCGAAAACCGTGCTTCTTTGATGTTTTTCATAGCCGATACCAATGCCACTACACTGATCTTGAAATTGTATTCTGACAGCCTAGGGTGGGAAGTATCCCACATACCCAATGCTTGTTTGTCCAGCAATGATCTTTTGTTTCGACCACGATCAGTTCTTTTATCGATAACGAACCAATCTGCCGACCAAAAACCTCTGTCGCATCTTTCTTCCCGTTCGTAGGGAAAAAATGGCCCCTCGAAGACGGTCTATTTATGTAGAAATCTTCTTTTGATTTTTCTTTATTCTTCTCCCGTCCTTTAGCCGAAGACGATAAGAAACCTGATCATTTTCAATCCTTATCTTAGACTCATATCGATTGTGGAAATTCGCCCAAGTTATCACTTGGAACTCAAGCAAGCTTTCCTTCAGTTTTCGGGAAGCGTCTGAACTTCACGGATACATACCCTTGGTGAATGCTTCAGGCGCCCATTCATCTGGAACAACAAGGAGAAACATCCTCTCCTTTTGGAACCGGGTGATGAACTCCCGCAGCAACTCTGAATCTCCTTGTGCAATTCTAAACATGTCGGCCTTTTGAGCGTGCACCTTTGTGGCCCCGACATGGGTCTTAATAAAAGAATCCGCGAGCATCTTAAAGGAATCTATGGAATTCTTGGGTAACTGTGAATATCAACTGAAGGCTCCCCTTGTGATAGTCTCTTAGAATATTTTCAGCAAAAACGATTTGATCTCTTGGAGCTAAATCGTTCCCCTTCACCGTCATTGTATAGGTGGTAATATGCTCCTGTGGGTCTGAGGTTCCATCATACTTTAGCACGTTGGGAATTTTAAACAGCTTCGGAATTAATTGTGGTGTCGCTCTTGGTTTGTACTGCAACTGAGTACATTTCTTTGAGTCTGGCCCTTTCAGCACCGGTGGTGCGCCCGGGATTTGGTCCATGTGGGTGTTCACTTCCCTTATAAACCATAAGAGTACGTTCTTGAAGGGACCGTTCTCGTTGCTGGGGCCGAATCCGCTCCCCCATCCCCATCGGAGCCAACCTCGCCCCTAGGGGTGTTGTTGTCGACCCTCTGCGTTGCCTGATTTGCAGGAACTGGGAGGAACTGGACCTCGTCCATTCGCACTATTGGAAGCCCTCGAAAATGCCTACTTCAACTCTGTCATAACCTTATCCTATTGTGTGAGATGGCCTAGAATGGCCGCTACTGCTCTTGCAGGACCTTTACCACTTCAACGACTTGCTCCTCTTCAGCATCATCGAGAGTCGCCTCCGGAACATGTCTTGAGTACCGCCTGTCGTGGACCGGTGTGGCATCATTTCCCTCATTGCGGGTGTCACTGACTGAATCCTCGCGATGAGGCTGATCTCCTTGGGCCTCAAGATTGTGTGTGTTATTAACACCGTTATCTGCCATTTTATGTTATTTTTGCTAAGACAAACAATCAAAACATGTTAGTAAAAGAGGCAAGGATAAACTTAATAACATGGATGTCTAGGCCCCACATTTGGCGCCACACTGTTCACTCGTAAAAAAGGTACAGTTGAATTTATACGTGGTTTCTAGATAAGTAAATTAATTTGATCCTTAAATAATAATATAATTGAAGAATTACATAATACTTAGCCATGAAGTGAAGATAAAATAGCAGAAACAGTAATTCCGGGAGCAGGGTTTCCGGACACAACAACAATGAAATCATGGAATAAGAAGATAAAATTGTATAAAGCTTTGAATCGATTGTAGCATAAGTTTGCCAGAAAAATCGTGTCCTTTATAATGATAACAAAGCTCACTATTTATAGCTGCACATAGGGAACAAGGTCCTAGGATCATGCCCTTCTTTAATGTCAATTATGAGGGCTATTGAAGAAGGTGTAACGGTGAGCATAAATAATAATTTCTCTGTAGCGGGTTGTGGAATATTCTCCATTGAATTCTACCGGGAGGAGGGTATTTATTTTATCTTTACGAGTGTCATCCTTTCCAGTGACAACCGGGACAGTTGCCTTCGGTTTTAACTGACCCCCGCATTAGGCTCCACGTGTCACTCTCTTAAGTGGATACTTAGCATAGCATATTTTACTCTATACAGTGTATTAATTTGTAAAGAATATAAAATCACTTACTACATGATTTGTGGTGTGGTGTGGCGTGACTTCGTGTCATGATGTTGAGTCATTAAAAATTATTTATTCAATGTCGTAATATATTTGGGACATTATGTATGCTGCCGTGGTATATTTGGAGCATTGTGTATGCTGTCTTGGACTCGTCGAGGTGTTTGGTTAATTTCCTTCACTGCCGCTATGACAAGTCCTTAGTATAGATTATGTTGACATAAATAGTGTTGTTGTTGAATATTTATTTGGAACTTATTGAGTATTATATGGTGATATAATTTTTGTGTATATTATATTTGTGCTCATTATATGTTTGTATTTTTAAACACTTGTTCCAGGAGTATTTAAACTGGCAGATCGAGGATTTTGCTAGTTATATTTACGTATAACTTACTCCTTACTTGCATGTTCATGCAAATATTGTTGCTGACGATAAAGCTAGCAGTTGAAGACGAACCTAGAATTGATCCAATTATTGAGATGATCCACCGATAGAGTCTTTATTTATTTATATTTATTTCAATTGGGATTTGTGCACATAACTCTGAGCCTTTATGTATTTCTTTAGATGCTTTATGGTCCAATGTGAGAATTGGGCAAGATTTTTAAATATGTATTTCGAAATATTAATCGTTCATAATTAATTATCGGCTTGTTAGGACACGTATTTAAATTATTAAACAATGTAAATTAATGTTTAATGTATGAAAATCCGATTCGTCTGACGATGAAAATCTAATTCGTCTGACGGATGACGTGTGCTGGGTGTTAGTCACGTCTAGGGGTAGTTTGGGACATGACAATTCCGCCTGATTTATGATTGAAAATTGACGCACATATACCATTGTTAACAATTATTAACAATGTTTTAGCCAAAAATTAGGCTTACCAACTGTAGCTTAATCAAATTGGTATGGATAGACAAATTCTCCAAACTCGACGAATATACAAGAGATCTTGGTGTTTTCGTGGAGTTCTTATGAGATCTTGGATATCCCGTCCCCATGCTTCTGGTTCATTAAATTTTAATAGATAAAGCATCTTACACTATAACAACAACGACCCAGTGTATTCTCACAAGTGGGGTCTGGGGAGGGCGAGATATATGCAACCTTACCCCGACCCTGGAGGGGCAGGGCGAGACAAAGCATCTTAAACATCTTATAATAATTTACATTATCATAAAATGTAATCTCACCATAAAAGACTCACCTGAAACATCAATTCGAAATCTAAAAATTTTGAGTAGTTTTGTTTTTAAGTAGGTATAATTGGAGTTTTTTGGAAACACCTAGACAAAGTTATATACAAATTTGAAGGAGATTAAAGGTGATTTGGACTGCTTTTGAGACAAAATTCAGAGCTGACATCGACTTGGAAAATGTTGCAACGATAATGTATATCACATATGTATATAGTATATATCCACACATATTTTCATGGAGTTTTCATGGACTGCTTAGAGCTTCAAGATTGATCAATAGTTGCGGGTTTCAAAATCTTCTCCAAATTCAGTGAATTTAATGAATTTCTGATGGTGTTTTAGTGAATGTAGGTGGCGGAAGTGTTAAAAATGGCATTGACGAGGTGGTACTATTACGTGGTAAAGGAATGATGAGGAAGAAGATGAACTATTTTGAACTTTGCTAATTGTTTTACTAAAATAATCGAATTGGGCCAAATCATGCCAATAATGATAAGTTGGGATATTTCATGCCATATGTTTGTCCTTGTTGGCCATAGAGTGCCAAAATTTCCTTTTATTTTAGAGTTGTTTAAGTTACACATATAAGACGTTGTAATTTTCTTAATTACACTTAGAGCAATTTTACAAGTTATCATATCAAAGTAATTATGATTTGTGTTAGAGGTCAACTTAACTTGATATGTAACAACTTCTGACATAATTAGAGGGCAAAACATAAACTCTTCATTTTATACGAGGAAGTCCTTAAAATAAACTTTATTTCGTATATTTATATTATTAATAAAAAGAGTGTGTTATAAATTTGAATGAAGAATTATCTTAATTATAAGCTTGGTCCAAACCTAACGATGATTTCTTCAAACACGGGCTTGGGTATAGTAGAGTGGAATAACATATGGACTGGCCTGTTTATATATGGCTTCTAACATTTTGACCGCTTGTGAATTCTACAGAGCACAAGTATTTAATGGTAAGTAGGTAATGCCAACAACACTGAAGTCCAATTTACAGAAAATAGGATCATATTTCAATCAA